AACTACTACTACTAACTACTACTGCTCCTACTACTGCTATTATGCACGCGGTGATTTGTACTACCCTTATTAATATCACTGTTATTGATCTTGTTCTAACAGTCTTAAAGAAGCTTTTACCACTTTCGTGCGCAAGCCCCTAAACTCCGAAACCTCAAACCTTAGCCGCCCGCCTTCAGGAAGTCGTCCAAGCCAAAAGTCTCAATGCAAACCTCAGAAGGCATCTTCCGAGGAGCGGTTCGAGGCTTTGGGCACAGACTGGAAGGAGATTAACCCTAAAACCGCAAACCCGAAGCACATTCTGCCTCCAACCCCACAACCCTAAACCAACCACTCAACAATCAAACTTCGGAATCAAGGGGATGACCGAGGAGAGGGTCCAGGGTTCAGGGGCGACAGCGCTTCGGACGCTCGTGGGGTTTGGGTGTTGATAGTAGCAACAGTAAGAGAAAACCGATAATGACCATAAGAACAATGATTATACAGAAAGGTACGCCAAAGGTACCTTTCTCCAGAAAGAAATAGAAATACGAATAGTAATAGTGATAGTAACCGTAGCAGCAATCAGCTTCAGGCTCTTGATTTGAATGGAGGGCTAGAGATTGTGGCCTCCGGAGTTCACTGTTGAGGTTTAGGGTTTAGGGTTTAGGGTTTAGGGTCTAGGGTTCATGGTTTAGGGTTTAGGGTTTAGGGGTTTAGGGTTTAGGGCTTAGGGTTTAAATGCTGCCGTCAAGACTTTAATTGCAACGGTCTACCCCCATCACGCTGCATTCTCCAAAAAGATTCCGGCCATTTCAGGCAAGACTGCAAATCCGTTGAGCGCATCAGAGTAGTCTTGCGTGTCGCCTTACTGCCAAAAGAAGCTGCCCATGTAACCGAGGTTACATGGAACCCTAAACGCTAAACCCTAAACCCCTAAACCCTAATTTAACAGGTTGGGGTCTGGCTCGTTATCAGGGAATTACCCAGACAAATCACTCGGCTGCCAAAGCCTTCCAGCTTCTCAGTTTCCTGGATTTACGGTTGACCTTAGGAAATGTATACGTGGCTCCGACGCGTCCAGTTTAGAAATGCTACTGCACACCCTGGCTCCCTGGCTACGATGCTTGAACTATTTCCGTCTCGGATGAGACGGTCTCCGTGCTGCTCGAAGTGTTATGGAACTGAGCAGTTGCGGGAGCCGGGCCCATTCGCCGTTGAAGTCCGGGCGCGCACGGAAGAAGTCTGCAACTGTCTCAACCTCGAAATACCCCGATGCACATGATGCCCAGTTTAGTGCATGCAATGGACTGCCACCAGCAACTCGTCAACTCCGGAATATAGGACTCGGGAAAAAATGAAGCCTAATTGCAGTAGTATATACCCCAAAAACCCTGTTCGAATTAATTAAGGCTCCTATACTCCTAGGGGATCTGCGGGCTGAGCCAACTCCCGTGTACTTGTGTTCACGGTTCAGCAGAAGTGATCCCTACGGCCTGCGTGATGTCTACCAGATCTCGAAGCAGCTGCGAGTACTCTAAAGCCAAGAACGAAACCCTCAAACTTCATCACCTGGATGTACTGGAAGCCACTGCCTCTAAAGAGACATTCGGCAGAAGCAGCAAGGCTTGCCAGGCAGGAGGCAGGCGTGGAAGCTTCAGCAGAATGGATCCCAACACCGGATGATAGATGGCGGTATCCTGATCATGAATGCCTCTGGACCCGCTACTGTGGCAAGGTTGCTGTTCCCTAACTCCTCTTGCCACTGCCCTCACCACCATGTGCTTCTTTGTTGTTATTGCCATTTCTGTTGTTCATGAGAGTGCGATTACGGTGTACCTATGGTTACAGCAAGCGATTGATTACCTGTGTCATTAAAACTGGCGCTACTACTTTTCACTGTTGTTATTAGTGTCATGATCATTACCTGCGTTGTTCTTGTTCTTATGATGGCTCTTTTTGTATTACTGCTACCAATTACTACCTTGGTGATACTTTTGCTGATATTCTTCCGCTGCGTCTGACAGGCTCTCGAAACGCTGACGGCCCCGGGCTCTACGTGTGGAATTCCCTAAGGCTTCGAGCCCTCCATTCCTCAAGAGTAGCTCCACTGTCGAAACAAGCCTGTTGCCGGTTAGGGTTTAGGGCTTAGGGTTTAGGGTTTAGAAATTGCCGTGAAGCCCTTCAAGGGAAGTGCAAGCCCAGAGCAGCAGTAAGAATCCCGGCAAAGGATTTGGTGCTGACCACAGACTGGGCAGTGTGCGACCTCGGGCTGTGAACTTCGAAGCGTGTGAGTATACAGCATCTTGTCAAGAGCACTGCCATACTGCTGCTGCTGCTGCTGCTGCTGCTGCTGTTGCTGTTGCTGCTGCGTGCTACTGTTACTGCTAATGCTACTGCTGATGCTGCTGCTTCTGCTTCTGCTGCTGCTGCCGCTGTCGCTGCCGCTGCTGCTGCTGCTGCTGCTACGGCTACGGCTACGGCTACGGCTACGGCTACGGGGACGGCTATGGCTACGGCTGCGGCTGCTGCTGCCACAGCTGACACTACTGCTATCGCGACTACACTACTCGTTACCACCACCACCACCGCCGCCACCACCACCACCGCCACCGCCGCCAGCACCACTACCACCACCACCACCACCACCACCACACTACCACTACCACCATCGCTACCGCTACCGCTACCACTATCACGACCACTACAACTACAACTACAACTACAACTACAACTACGACGACTAATAGTACTGCTACTGGTACTGCTACTGCTACTGCCGTTGCTACTGCTGCTGCGACTGCTGCTGCTCTCGCTACTGCTGCTACTGCTGCTACTGCATGCTACGGCTACACCTGCTACTACTAGGACAACCACCCTCCACCACCACGACGACCACCACTACTGCTGCTGCTGCTCCTGCTGCTGCTGCTACTGCTGCTACAGCT